TACCTCATGGTTAGGTATGACCACCAGCCTGCCTTGGCATTCCTCCCCCCCCCCTATTGCACTTGCACTCATTCTTAGAATTTAAGTTCTGCCCCTCTCTTGTGAGCCTTGCTTTGGGACCCTTGAGCTCCCTCTGAACTTGGACACCTGAGGGTTGGCTCTTCCACACTGCACTATAACTCATTCTGATTAATATCTTGGGTGTAAGCACTGCCTGGGGTTCCTGAAACTCCTTGGATCTCTGAAACACCCTAGATAAGAGAAGGCTTTGGAAATCTTGATCTCGGAAGTGGCTCAATCTCATATTATTAGACACTAAGTCTGAATTAGGCTGCTCGGATGTAGCTGATAGCTTCTGATGTACTTTTAATTTCAGTCTTGTTCTACTAGTCTGTAATGATTTGTATAAACTCATGAGGATTTAGTGAAAAAGGGAGGGGTTACTTTTATGCACAAAGGGTAGAAAATATGCCTATAGGATTTTGTCTCTAATTTGTGCAATTTCATACGTAGAAAGCATGTCTATAGGATTTAACTTCTGAATTCTGCAACTACGCATGTAGATACCATGCCTATAGGGGTTTGCATCTCTGCATATAATAGCATCATTAGGCAAACAGATAGGTTTAATAATAAAATGGCATATGTAGATATCTTGGTTTACAAGGCTTTCATTAGTATTTAAAAAGGTATCACGTATAGAAAGCATGCCTATAGGGATTTTGAAACCAAAAATTGTCTCACTTATTCAAAACAGTGTTGATTTTACTAAAACAAACGACTTTTCTTTCTAAACCTACTCGCATGAACTCTGGTAAACATTTCCTAACCGATCTGCATTCTGGAACTCGTTTAGTTGTTAAACCACGTACCCTTTTCTGAAACTTTTTGTTACTCTGAAATTTTTTTTTAAAATCAGCTTGTGTTTTAAAATCAGTAGTTCTATCCAACACATAGACAAAAAAGGTTTAACTAATCAACTGGATCAGTCTTAGACAACTGCATTCGAGTAAGCCTAATGTAGACTTCCTGTCCAAAAATATGTGTTGAACCAGTCCGCTTATCGCTTTAATTTAATTTAAGACTAAACCAGTACGTGCAAGACATGCTAAACTCTATGGCTTTATCTGATTTTAGGAGGCTTATGTGATCCCTACTTGCTTATTTGCTTTCCCCTTTACTTGCATTATGTGTTTTGATTGACGCCTTAGTATTTTGTCCTTTGAAAACTCTCCAAAAGGCCCCAAACCCCTCTCCCATTAGGACTAGTTAGTCCAAATGCCTCCGGGACTGATAGGATTGGGACGGGTACTAGCATGCAATAAGTAACGAGACATTCCGCGCTTTAATACCTTAATGGGGTGGGAAGGGTAGATATGGATATGATGACCACGCGATAACACCACGTGTATAAACGGTTACCGGGTGTTGTGTGGGGTGATCCATATTATTTATAAACATAGGACCCCTCTCCCTTTATCTGTTTATTTTTATTTCGAAAACTACTTTCTTCTCAAATTTCAGCCTCTTTAACTTCGTTTAATTTCAAATTATTTGCAACTATTATATGAAAACCCCCTCGTATTTGTAATTCTTGCTTGTTTACTTGTTGTTTGCACTTAAAGTCACAATTGTAACATGGCCGGGAACCACACTAGTGGATCTTGAGGGGTGCCTAACTCCTTCCCCTCGAGATAATTTCTAGCCCTTACCCAAACTCTGGTTCTTCATCTCAAATTCTTTTAAAGTGTCCTAATGCACTATAATCATTAGGTGGCGACTCTTCAATTCCAAAACCCAATTCCCAAACGAGAATAGAGTTGTCTTTTCCAAAAAAAAATGTCGTAAACCCGATTTCTTGGGAAAAAGGGGGCGTCGACAACTTGTCATGCCATCTTTTCGTTTTCTCTTTGTAAAGCTTGGCATTTTCATAAGAGTGCAGCCTGAACTCATCTAACTCATTCAACTGCAAGAGTCTCTTCTCACCCACGGTTTTAAAGTCCATATTCAACTTTTTAATGGCCCAGTATGCCTTGTGTTCAAGTTCAACATGCAAGTGACATGCCTTCCCATAAACAAGCTTATACGGTGACGCGCTAATTGGTGTTTTGTATGCAGTTCTATATGCCCATAAGGCATCATCTAACTTTGCAGCCCAATCCTTCCTATTCACAGTTACTATCTTTTCTAATATTTGCATTATTTCTCTGTTGGACACCTCAGCTTGTCCACTTATTTGCGGATGATATGTCGTGGCAACTCTGTGGCGAACCCCATATTTAGCTAGAAGGTTATTCAACAACCGATTGCAAAAATATGTCCCTTCATCACTAATCAAAGCACGTGGAGTCCCAAACCTCAAGAATATGTTCTTCTTCACAAAAGCAGCTACCATCTTGGCATCATTGGTTGGCAATGTGATCGTCTCTACCCATTTCGACATGTAGTCAACTGCTAGCAAGATATATTTGTTTCCTCTGGACAATGGGAATGGTCCCATAAAAGTCTATCCCCCACACATAAAAAATCTCGACCTCCAGGATGTTATTCAAAGGCATCTCATGCCTCTTTGTGATTGTCCCTGTTCTTTGACACTGGTCACACTTCTTAATAAATGCATGGGCATCCTTGAACAATGTTGGCCAAAAGAACCCCGATTGTTACACATTTGCGGCTGTCTTATTGCTTCCATGATGGCCCCCATAAGGTGAGGCATGGCAATCATACAACACTAATTCCACCTCATTTTCTGGAATACACCTCCTCATCAACTGATCAACACACTACTGTACGAGAATGGCTCATCCCAGTAGTAGAAGTTCACATCATGTAGAAACCTCTTTCTAGCTTCAGATTCAATTTTAGGAGAAAGTACCCCACTCACAAGATAATTCACATAGTCCGCATACCATGGGGGAGGGGGGGTCTTGGGTGATAGCAAAAAGATGTTCATCAGGGAATGCCTCCTTAATTTGTCCACCTTCTTCCACATGCTCATGATTTTCCAGCCTTGATAAATGCTCTGCTACTTGGTTCTCTGTGCCCTTCTGGTCTCGTATTTCTACATCAAATTCCTGCAACAACAAAACCCAACGCATCAATATTCCTGCAACAACAAAACCCAGTGCATCAATCTAGTCTTAGATTCCTTTTTTGTAAATAGATACCTGATTGCTGCATGATCGATACGGACTATGACTTTTGTTCTCACCAAGTATGCCCGAAATTTCTCAAAGGCCCACACAACGGCCAACAACTCCTTTTCAGTGGTGGTGTAATTCAGTTGTACATCATCAAGAGTCTTACTCGCATAGTATATGGAGTAAAACATCTTGTCCTTCCTCTGGCCTAGCACTGCCCCAATAGCATGGTCACTTGCATTGCACATAAGTTCAAATGGTAAAGACGAATCTGGAGCCGCATTAATGGGGGCAGCCATCAACTTCTTTTTGAGCTCCGGGAATGCCTTCAGGAAGGCTTCATCAAGATTGAAGGTTATATCCTTTTCAAGCAACCCACACAAAGGAGTAGCAATTTTTGAAAAATCCTTAATGAAGCATCTATAGAATCCCACGTGTCCCAAGAAACTCCAGACACCCTTCACAGAAATAGGTGGAGGTAATTTTTCAACCGTATCCACCTTTGCCTTATCAACTTTAATGCCGCTCCTTGACATCTATGGCCCAGCACCATGCCTTTTTGTACCATAAAATGACAATTTTTCCAATTTAACACCAAATTTGTTTCTTCACAACGGTCTATCACCTTGCTCAAATTCTTCAAACAGTAATCATAAGAAGACCCAAAGACTGAAAAATCATTCATGAAGACTTCCACAAATTTTTCCACCATATCGGTGAAAATAGTCATTATGCACATCTAGAAAGTGGTTGGTGCATTACAAAGACCAATACCATACGGACATGTAAAAGTGGTTTTCACCCGATCCGCTAGGCATATAACAATCTGGTTGTACCCCGAATAACCATCAAGGAAGCAATAATATCCATGCCCCACCAATCTGTCCAACATTTGGTCAATGAATGGAAGTGGGAAGTGGTCCTTGCGGGTTGTCTTGTTGAACTTTCTGTAATCAATGCAAACTCTCCACCCCGTCATGGTGCGAGTAGGAATTAGCTCATTTTTCTCATTCTCTACCACAGTCATCCCCCTTTTTAGGCACACATTGCACTGGCTTACCCAGTTGCTGTCAGAAATAGGAAAGATGATACCTGCATCGAGCCACTTAATTACTTCCTTCTTCACGACCTCTTTCATAATGGGATTTAATCTCCTTTGTTTCTGAACACTGGGGCGGTGTCTATCTTGCAGAAATATTTTATGCATGCAAAATGATGGACTGATTCCCTTAAAGTCAGTAATTGTCCACCTAATAGCCTTCTTATGCTGAAGAAGTACTTTGAGCAATTTTTCTTCTTGCACATCGGTCAAGCTGGATGAGATAATCACTGGCAATGTCTCAGAGTTCCTCAAATAAGCATAGCGCAGATGTGTTGGAAGGGGCTTAAGCTCTAGCTTTGGAGCTTCTTTAATAGATGGCTTAGGAGGGGTCAGAGTAACAGGCCTGTCCAACTCCTAAAATCTCCCAAACCATGGACATAATCGCAATACATCTCAAGTACTTGCTCAATTTTTTCCATCATCTCATCTTCACTGTCTTTTTCATCCCCAATCAAGGCTCGTTCAAGAGGATCTATGGGGCTCATATAAGGCACCAATGATTTCACATCACTTTCCACCACATAAATCACGGATATCTCTTCATAGTGGGCTGGCAATCTGAGTGCTTTATACACATTGAATACCTCTACTCGATCACCTACTTTCATCGTCATCTTTCCTTCGCATACATCAGTAATAGCTCGGCCCGTGGATAAGAATGGACGCCCCAAAATAAATGGGACTTCCTGATTATGCTCATAGTCCAAGATAATGAAATCAGCAGGGAATATGAAAGGACCCACTTGACACATATTCAATCACTCCTTCAGGATGAGCAAGGGGCGATCAGCCAACTGTAAAATTACCGTGGTTGGGCTCGGCTCATCCAACCCCAACTGTCTGAACACAGATAGCGACATCAAATTGATGCTCGCTCCAAGATCACACAAAGATCGCCCGACTGCGTGCTTACCAATCGAGATTTGGATAGTGAAACTACCTGGATCCTTCAATTTTTGAGGTAGCTTGCTTTGAATTCTTGAGCTACATTCTTCAGTGAGTTCCATAGTCTCGAACTCTTTCAACCTCCTCTTATTTGCCACTATGTCCTTGATGTATTTGGAATATTTGGATACTTCTTGCAAAATGTCTACCAGTGGAATGTTGATTTGCAGCTGCTTCAAAATAGCAAGAAACTTTTTATATACCGCATTATCCTTCACCTTCTACAATATTTGAGGGAACGGAGATGGTGGGCTTGCAACTAATGGTGGGGGTTGCTTAGCCACCGCCTCTTCAGCTGGCTTCTCTGACTCCTTTGATTTTTCTGATTCTGCTTCTAAAGTGGTCGGTTTCTCGTGAAAGGTCACTTGCTTTCTCTTTTTCGACCGGACTTCTTCTAACTGTATCTCATTCCTCAATGACACAACATTAATAGATTCCTTAGGATTAGCCTCAATATCGCTTGGAAGAGCTCCAACTGGTCGAGTATTTTGGCACTAGCAAGTTGCCCCATTTGTCGCTCCAAATTTCGAATCGCTGCAGTGTGTGTTACTGCTTGAGCTTGCTGGTCAGCCATTAATTTCTTCATCATCTCCTAAAGGTGAATCGTTGGGTTTGTAGGTTGTTCAGCCTAATGTGGTCTATATTGCTGTTGAGGCGCTTGTGGCCTGCATTGATTCTAAGCACCTTGGTTTCCACCCTAAGAGAAGTTTGGGTGGTTCCTCCAGTTAGAATTGTAAGTTTTCCCATACTGATTTGCTTGACCCTTATTTGCATTACGCACAAAACAGACAGACTCTGGATTGATTGGGCATAAGTCGCTCGTGTGACCCTCTCCACATACTTCACAAAATATTTGAACCTGTTGCACTGGCTGGGCTTGTTGCTTGTTAATAACCAAAGTCATCTTATTGACTTGGTTGGCCAAAGTGGCAATCTGCGCTAATAATGTAGACACGACATCTAACTCGAGAACCCCTGCAGATTTTTGCACCGTGTGTCTACCCATCTCTCCTTGCCAATTAGGATTGCCTTTAGAGAATTTGTTCAATAATGCATATATCTCATCGAATATTTTCTCCAAAACTTGACCTCCCACTGCAGCATCCACCACAATCTTCGTCTCAAGATATAGCCCTTCTATGAAAGTGTGAGTTAACACTTCATTTGTCTGATTGTGATGAGAACAGTCTCTGAGCAGCTCCTTATACCTTTCCCAAGCTGAGAATAAAGACTCCCCCGATTTCTGTTTGAAGGCGGATATCTCACTTCTGATCTTTGAGTTTTGCCTGAAGGAAAGAACCTTGCCAAAAATTTCCGAGCCAGATCATTCCTGATATAATAGAATTAGCTCGTTCCGCCTTCAACCATCGCTTTGCTTCGCCCAACAAAGAGAACGGGAACAGTGTGAGCCTCACATAGTCTAGAGTGAATCTGCTAGTGATATAAGTATCACTAATCTCCAAGAAGTTCAGGATGTGCTATTGTGGATCCTCGTGTGGAAGACCCATAAACTGATCGTTCGCATGTAGTAGCTGGATCATGCTCTATTTCAGCTCAAAGTGCCCAGTGATTCTAGGCTTCACAATGCTAGAGGTGACATTAGCAATTTTGGGAATCACCACCTCCTGAACAACCATATGTTGCTCCTCTTCCATGTGCACAGGAAATTGAACAAGTGCCTGAAGATTATCTATGTCCCTTGCTTCCCTCAATCTCCTATGAAATGTTCTCTCAGGTTCGGGGTCAAAGCCTTGAAGTCAATCCTGGCTTCTGACCCTTCCCATCCAATTAAAGTTCCTGAGAGCAGAGCAACCAATAAGAAACGTTAGACTTGACAGAATAAGCAATTAAAGCAAAAACTAAAAGTAGTCAATATTTAAGTCCCCCGCAACGGCACCAAAAACTTGTTGCTCCCAAACGCACACGCAAGTATACGTGATCGTACATGTAATATAATGATAAGTCGAGTGTCAAACCCACCGAGACTTGTATTAACTACCCACTAAATTCACCAAGATTTTTATTCAGTCGAGTCACTCAGAGTTCAAAAGTGTGATTATACTAAACAATAATTCTAACTAGTAACTAAATTATCAAGCAGCAAAATGGTTGCTGTGTATTCAGTAGAGACGAATATTCCAGCATTGTGATCAATTCACCAATCCTATTGAGTTCTAGTTAACTCTACCTTTCATACAATTCACTCATGGTTGCTAATTAATCGAACAATTGCTCTCGTAGTATTCTTCCGAATTCCTACTCGCCTATTCAAAATAGGTTAACGCCTATATTCCAATGCAATCAATCTATTAAGAACGCATTAAGATTACAATATTTAATTAAGCACGGTGACTAGGTATATTCTTATCCTAACCACAAATTCCCTCCCCCCCCCCCCCTAGAGTTAAGATCATGCTCTCTTCAATTCTTCTCTAACCTAAACATGGCTTTCCCAAGCATAGCATAGATAGTAAATAGAACCTAACTGTTGACCAGACAATTAAGCAATAAATCATAGAATTGAAGAACAACCATATATTGGTGAATTGTAATTAAGGTTAAGTCAACTTTAAACAATAATATTCAAGGCTAAATCACAACCCCAGAACTATGGGTTTTAGCCACTCATGTTTATATCAAAAGTAATTCACAAGTGTTGAATAATTGAAAATACTAATATAAGATGAAAAAATTAAAACTGAGATATCCTCACTCCCGGATGTTCCTCGTGGGTATTTTTCCTTCAAAGTGGCATCATCCCCCTCAAAATAGGCTTAGTCTTGCTTTTATACGCGTTGGGTAGGTCTTGGACCAAAATAACCTTATCCCCGGCAAAGTTGGAGAAGTCTCTCGTCACCAGCGCCTAGATTAGCGTGGGGAACTAGCCCTGGTGCTAGCAAATTGGAGTTTCTGTAAATTGCACCACAGGTGGCGCCCCACGCTACGTGTGGCGCTGGAAATCATTATTTTCCATTTTTTCTTCGTTTTGGCTCTAATCTCGCACATTTCGCGCCCCGTTGCCTCTGGATGATTCCTACATATAAAAACACCACGAATTAACATAAACCAATACATTTTACATCCGAAATCCACGAAACATGAGTAAAAATGAGGCGACACACACACACACACACACACACATATATATATATATATATATATATATATATATATATTATAATATATATATATATATATATATATATATGTGTGTGTGTGTGTACAAACTTGACAAGACACTTTACGGGATCAAGCAGGCTCCAAGAGCATGGTATGAAAGATTGTCTAAATTTTTGCTTGAGCATGGCTACAAGAGAGGTAAAATTGACAATTCTTTGTTCTTGAAAGAAAAAGGTAAAGATCTCTTGCTAGTTCAGATATATGTTGATGATATAATCTTTGGAGCAACTACGGATAGGTTAAGTAAAGAATTTGCTAAGCTAATGCTGAATGAATTTAAAATGAGTATGATGGGTGAGCTTAATTTCTTTTTAGGCTTACAAATTAAACAAAATTCAAATGGAACTATGATCCATCAGCAGAAGTATGTGAAAGAGTTGCTTACAAGGTTTAAAATGGAAGACTCCGAAGAAATTGACGCTCATATAGCAACAACCACAAAATTAGATATAGATGAACCTGGTTCATCTGTTGATCAGAAGATGTATAGGGGAATAATTGTCTCTTTGTTATATCTCATTACTAGTAGACATGACATTGTTTTCAGTGTAGTCCTTTCTGCTAGAGTTCAGGCAAATCCAAAGGAATCTCACTTGACTGCTATCAAGAGGATCTTGAGATACCTAAAATGCACCACTGATCTTTGCCTATGGTATCCAAAAGGTAGTAATTTTAACTTAGTGGGATATGTTGATGCTGATTATGCAGGTTTTCTTGTGGGTAGAAAGAGCACTTCAGCTATGGCACACTTTCTTGGCTCATGTATTGTGTCATGGGCCACCAAAAAGCAAACTTTTCTGGCCTTGTCCACTGCTAAAGCTGAGTATGTGGCTGTTGCCTCATGTTGTGCTCAATTGTTATGGATCAAACAATAATTAATGGACTTTGGGATTGATGTAGGTTGTATCCCCATCTTTTGTGATAACATCAGTGCAATAAAGAACTAAGCACATAGATGTTAGGCATCACTTTTTGAGGGATAACTATGAGAAAGGTTTGATTACTGTAGAATTATGTGCTACTGACAAGCAAATAGCTAACATCTTCACAAAATCTCTAAGAAGAGATCACTTCGAAAGGAACAGGTCAGAATTAGGGAGGATTAAGATCACCTAAAGGGAACCAGTTCTAACGCAATAATTGGTTAGATAATTTGTTAATTGTGTACATAACTAGATTAGATTTTGCTCAGTCTCATACTTTCACTAGTATACTCTTGTGCCATGTGCTAAAATGTATCATTAATCTATAATGATATTATCTTTATTCTCTAGGAAAATTCAGACTTACACAAGAGAATTCTCAGTGAAGAACCTGGTTCATCAAGATTACATGGCATGTACTCTCCACTCCGCATATTTTAAAATAGTTATATTTGGATCATGATAAAAAAAAGAGTCCCACTTAGTCCCAATCTCCCCCAATTTTATCCGTTACAAATGAACCAGTTTCACCTAACAAGAGTCCCACACGCCATAACTACCTAGATTCTAGGTAATAGTCCAACTACCTAGATTCTAGGGAAGAGTCCAACGTGCCCCAGTTTGATTAGACTTCTGAACTTCAAAAAGTAACTGTTACCCACTCCAACTCTCCCTCTTAAAATTGATTATGCCTTAACCATTTCTTCACTTCTAATTTTCTAGCCGCCAAAAGTTTCTCTCTATCTTCTCTCATATCTTCTACACACACATCTCCTCCACATATATCAATGGAAAACCATCTGAAAACCCTTCTTCACCACCCAAAGAATCATCACCTACACCTTCGATCACACCTTCAACCACACCTATCTCTAAGAAAGGAAGGTTCAAGATGCTTGCTCGTAAGACAGTCGATGGCAGTGAACAAATCAAGAAAATAAATGAGCAATTGAAAGCAAGCCAAGCGGAAGGACCCAAAAAATCAGAAGAATCTTTTAAGTCTGCAACAGAGGGGGAAGGAACCATTTTATCTGAAACAAAATAGGTAACTTCTGGTCTAAATATTGCTTCTGAGGTCATTTATGAAGTGGCTGATTATTTGGAGAACAAATTGTTCTGGTTGGTACTATTGCTGGGGTAGAGACTATTGAGTTTGATAGAATTGGTGGTAAAAATGAAAAAGAGAAAAGAAAACAGAGTGAGGGTGTTTAAGGAGATGTAACGGGAAAGGGAAAAGGATTGGTTGAACCTTCACCTACTCTTGTTGGGTTGACTGAGGAAACATGGGCGATGGTGTTATGGAGTGAGGAAACTATTGAGGAGGAAGAAAGTTGGAGAGAAGAAGGAGGTAGTGGATCTGGTAACATAAGGGAAGCTGAGGGGCTGGTAAGGTTGAGGAAGAGGTTCTAGGAACATGTTATGTCTGTGAAGGAACCCCTCGAAGAGTTATTGAAAAGGGTGTCTGATAGCTACAATCCAAAAAAGAAGAAAAGTTCAGGAGTTAAAATCCTTGGAACTGTTAGGGCATACAAGAAAAAAATGTTGCCTCTTCTATCCCTGTAGAGACTCCTCCTACAAGAGGAAGAGCTACAAGGAGTTAGAAGAAGTAGAGTGAGGCTGAACTTGAAAGAGCCTTAGAAGAAAGTAAAAGAAAAGCTGCTATAAAGGAAAAGAAGAAAGTGAGAGAACCTGTTGAGACAATTGAGATCGAGGAGATGGACCTGGTCCTTCATGATAAAAATGAGGCAGAGGAGGTGGAGGTTGTGACTCCAAAAGCAAAAAAAAGAAAGACTTCCAAAAAGAAGTCTCCTTTAAAGCCTGTTGATGCAGAGCCTTCTGCCTTGGAAAAAAGAACTAGGTCTGCCAAGAAATCTAGGAAAGTGCAAGTAGTGGAAAAAGAAGAAAGTGAAGAAGAAAAGGAAACTGATGAGGAACAAGACAAAATGGTAAAGTTTGGCAAGAGAACAATCTTGAAAGTTAGACTCCTCAGAGACTTGGAGGAGGAAGGAATGGTGATGCTGTTGGAGAAGCTAGAACTTCAGGGTTGGAAGGGCATGGTCCTTCAGATGGAAGGAAGACTAGCCCGAGCAAAAATTGTGGAGTTTATGGCTAACTGTGAAATCAAGAATGGCAGGGTCACCAGTATAGTGAAAGGGGTGACTGTGAGCTTTGATGCCAAGGAACTGGGAGAAATTTTAGAGGTACCTGCTGAAGGGTACAATGATTACAAGAAGCTGAAATGGCCAAGCCTAGAAAACCTACCCACCTCCCTTGCCATTACAAGAAAATTTGCTGACAGTGACTTAGAGCTACAGCCCAAGGCTGTGTACAAAAGTTAGATGAAGCCTGCCTACAAGCTTCTCTTTAAATTTATCAACAAGGTTGTTCTGCCCAAGTAAGAGAGAAGGCACATTACAACTTTCAAGGACCTGGTCTTTATGGAGTGCCTGGATAGTGGAAGGCAGATCAATTCCAGCTCCTTGATAGGGTACTCACTGGCACCAAAACTCATGCCATGCCCTATGGGTTTATTCTCACTGTTGTGCTTGCTCACTTTAAGGTTTCCCTCAAGAATTGGGATGTTAGTACAAGCAAAGATCACTTTGGGGCCAACAACTTGACTGCTTGTGACTATGAAGTCCATGTTGCTGCCAAAGAACCAGGTTCATCCAAGACGGTGCCTGTGAATAGCAAAGTGAGAGCCTTGGTGCAGGAGAGTGGGTCTAAGGATGCTGAGATTGAGAGGCTGAAGAAGAGGCTGGCTGAAGTAGAAACTGAGAGGGATGCTCTCAAAACTGAGCTTGCAAAGGAAAAGGAGAAGAATGAAGGCATTCTTCATGACATGTTAAAGCTGCTTCAGGCAAGAAACCAAGAACCTGGTCCTTCCCAACCTTAAACCCTTCCTAGCCTAATTAGAAAACTAGTGACCCGAATGGGATGTATTTTTGTCTTTTTGCTCATGATGCAGTACCTTTATTTCCTTCTATGCTTTGTGGATGACTCTTATCAATGATAACAAATGCCTTTTGCTCTAATTATTTGTTGATGCTTCTTAGATGGCTAATATCCTTGGATTTATAAGTGATTCTTGATTCCATGATTGCATTTGAAGTAGCCTAAATGACCATCACTACAACAAAAACGGGATTTAGCGGCAATACAAAAGGTCATTAGCGGCAATAACAATTGCCGCTATATCCTTTACCGGCTATTGTTCTTTAGCCGCTGAAGTCGGAGTCGGCAAAGCCTTTACCGGCCGTTGTCACAAATGCTGGTAAATGGTATGAATTATTGCTGCTAAAAACCATAAGCTTTAACGGTAATTATTTGCGGCAATTATGATGGCTGCTAAATCCAATCCAAAACAGCTAATTATGCTCCTTTAGCGTCCATTTATATAGCCGCTAAAGTCAAAATAATTGCCGCCAAAAGTTCGTATATTTAATTGCAATTGTGTCGTTGCAACTAGAATGGGTATAGTATTCCTTTTTAGCGTCTATTTTAATGGTTGATATATTCAGCTAAATTGATTGTTTTCTAACAATTATAATGCCTACAATATCCCTGATAAAAATGTCTTCACTTTTCCTTTTATCGTCCATTTAAGTAGAGCTAAAAGTCACAAGCTGTAACAGCAATAGTTTAGCCACCATTAATAATAGTTACTACATTTAGTCCAGAATATGATCCAAACAACGAAATATATAATATACCTCGTTTAAGTCTTAACAAGCAAAAGTAAGTACTAATCAAAAATATTAATGCCACAGTAACTTTAAAAATAAACTTATATTGTTTGAACTAAATAACTACTGTCATTATATAACTAATCCTGACGAATAATAGCCTTCAAATAATTTCTGCAACTTTTCATCATATTGAAATCTTTCACCCGCTAAATTATCGAACATCAAACTGTATGACCTAAAATTATAAAATAACTGTGTCAAAAGATGAAATATAATGTAAAAAAAAATCTTGAAGACTCCATCACTATCAAATTCTTTTTTATCCAACTCCTCACTTAATATTTATAAGCAGTAACAACTAGACGGATTAATAGGCAAGCAAAATGGATGTGCAAAAATGAAAGACAGTTTCTTTCTTTATTATGATAGAGAAGAAACCGAAAAAACAAAGCAGAATATTAGCTTGGAGAAGTAAAAAGAAGCCGCACCCAACTTCATTAGCAAATGTTATAGTTGCCAAGTTCTTTTCCTAAAATATAGATACTAGATTATGCTTATATAATATTAATAAAGCTCCCAAATAGGTGACAGAAAATTATACACATTAGGCCTTGACAAAATCTTTGGCATAATCATACTGTATATGTCACAAATAATTAAAATTAAATTTCTTTAGAAACTACGGCTAACTTAAGAATAATTATTTTCTTATAAGAACTTAAAAATAACTATAATTCCAGGAAATGCAAATGTATAATTTTAATAAAATAACTGTAACCGTTTTCTGATAAGAGCTTCAGTTCTGGGTGCACTAGGCATGCAAACAAAAGTTTTCCATTAGAAATTTTTAATTTGAAAAAGCATTTTCTGAAACATAAGAGCTTAGTTGGGTATAGGTGAGATGTGATAATTAGTATTAGAGATTGAAATTTTATTTTTGTATCAACGGAAACAAGTGTATAAAGTGTGATGTTATTCAGAAATAAACTTTCTCGTATAACACTGAAGTTCAACAATTCCACAAACATCACAATAGGTAGTAGTATAAAAAAAAGGATGGGTAAAAACTCTTCTTTTTCAACAAATATATTGTGCTATTCAAATTCTATGGCAAAAATAATAACACTAAAAATCTCTAAAGCCGATTATAATAAAGTGTAATCAAGGTTTAAAGAAGTTTTAATTTAGATTACCTTATCAAAAAGGGATATTTACCAGCATCTGATCTCAAAAAATGCAAATGCTTTGTCCAATTGGTGGAGG